CAAGGCTCACGTGCTTAGCAGCTTTAATTGAAGGACTTTGAAAATTGTAGTATTTCTTTGCCATACTTAGGTGAATCAGAAAGTAAGATAGTTCAAATTACCACAGGTTTATTGTATGCTAACTCACTCTACAAAAATCAGAACAACTAACAGCAAAACAAATTGGTGGTAGATAAAAGTAATCAGGATTCAAGGTGGGCTGGATTTAGATCTTTTGTGGGTATGAAGGGACTTGATCCCTCCCTCGGGCTCAGCCTGTAAATAGAATGTTTGATTTTACCCTCTTTTATAATAAGAAATACATCAAACAAATGCAAAATAAAGGTGAATGGAGAACCTTTTTTTCCATGGCCTTACCTTTCAACTGAATCTATCATAAGATTGATTGTCATGATGTATCATCTTCTCCCATGTCTTTCCATCCTAAGATCATTTATGGGTCATCTCCAATAATAGAAGACAAAACCAAAGAAGATTTCTTCCACCAGATGTTTCCAAATGGAACCCATCAGTATATGGGGATTCTTGAGTTGCTGCTGCATTTCAAGTGGACCTGGATTGGTGTAGTTGCATATAATGATGACAATGGAGAAATATTTAAGCAGAATATACTTCCCATTTATTCTCAGCATGGTATCTGTGTGGACTTCTTAGAAACAATGCCCAAAATGTCCTTTTCAGGTGATATTGCTGAAGCAGCAATGGAATGGTTTTCAACTTCACATCTTGTCACAGGAAGTAGTGCCAATACTGTTATTATACAAGGTGAACTGCATACTATTAGTGTCTTAAGATCAATTTTCCACTTTGCACAGTTTTATGATATCGCAATTGAGAGCCGAGTGTGGATCATGACAGCCCAGATGGATTTTGCTTCTCCTGGTTTTCTAAGAGATTGGGACATACATTGCCTCCATGGAGCTCTGTCCTTTGCAATTCACACCAATTATCCTAGAGGATTCCAGAACTTTCTGCAAAAAAGAAATCCCGTTTCAGAAAATAGAGATGACTTTATCAGAGTCTTGTGGAAAGACGTATTTAATTGCGATTTCTCAAATTCCCCTCTAGAAGAGAAAGATGAGGAGATCTGCACTGGGGAGGAAAAGTTGGAGAATCTACCTGTGACCCTCTTTGACACAAGCATGTCTGGTCACAGTTATAGCATTTACAATGCAGTATACATTATGGCTCATGCATTGCAAGCAATAACTTCATCCAAGACAAAACCGAGAGCAAAGGTGAAAGAGAGAGCGCAAGATCGATTAAATCAAGAGCCATGGCAGGTATTTTGCAGAACAATGTAGAAGAATTGCAGTGAGTCTTTCTTTCTCCTAAATAATTTTTTTGGGTTTTTTTCCCCTGCTTGCGCATGTTTTTGTATTACCATAAAGAAATAGAGATTCAAAGACATTTTTTTTCCTTCTGCTAATCTTCTATACTATGTGTGGGTGTATGACTACAAAATTTGCCTCACATCAATATGAGGCAGTAGAGCCAGTTTGGTCAAGTGATTAAGGCACCAGGTTAGAAAGCAAGAGACTATGAGTGCAAGCCACGAAAGCCAGCCACCTTAGCCACGAAAGCCAGCTGGGTGGCCTTGGGTTATTCACTCTCTCTCTCAGCCCAACTAACCTCACAGAGTAGTTGTGGGGAAAATACAAAAAGGAAGTGTGTTGGACTAGAGTTCACCTCTTTGAGTTGTTTGTACAAATAATAAAAATGCTGTGTATGTTTGTGTGTGTGTGTGTGTGTGTGTGTGTGTGTGTGTGTGTGTATATTTGTTTTCTCAGGTTTTCGCAGGTGTTTGTATGTAGGTCTTTGGTTATTCGGGTCTTCTCCCACATAAAATTGGAAGTGTCTTGGCGACGTTTCGACGAAGTCTCATTCGTCATCTTCAGGCTGGTGTTCTCGGCTTCGTGCTTGCTCCTGGAAGCACGAAGCCGAGAACACCAGCCTGAAGATGACGAATGAGACTTCGTCGAAACGTCGCCAAGACACTTCCAATTTTATGTGGGAGAAGACCCGAATAACCAAAGACCTACATATATATGTATGTATGTATGTATGTATGTATGTATGTATGTATGTATATGTATATGTATATGTATATGTATATGTATATGTATATGTATATGTATATGTATATGCGTGTGTGTGCACACACATACACACACATACAGTACATACATACATACATACTTGGCCACATTAAAGATACCTACTTATTCAAATGTGTCAATTCAACTTTTCTTGTTAATGTCATCATACTGCCACAACAGCTCACTGAAAATGTCTTCTCCTTCTCCTTCTTCTTCTCCTCCTCCTTCTCCTCCTCCTTCCCCTTCCCCTTCTTTGAATGGAAATGAGTGCTATTAGAGTATCCTGCATGTTTAATATTGATCTCTGCAGCAATGTCTTTTTTTCCTAGACCATTACCCAGGGTTTTTAACTGTGAACAGTGTCTCATGTCATCATTTTCTCTCCACTTTTCCCCCTATTTAGTTCCACAGGTTTATAAGAAGTACTTTCTTTGAAAACAGTGCTGGTGAAAATATTTCCTTTGATAACAAGGGACATATAATTGCTGGGTTCGATATTTTCAACTGGGTCACATATTCAAATAACACATTCACAAAAGTCAAAGTTGGATGGATAGACCCAGACCCTTCCTCTTCTAAATCGCTCAGTGTTGATGATGATTCTATTAAATGGCCCACAAGATTTTACCAGGTGCATATTTTGTACAGATCTGGAGATAGTTTAACCTACATTCTGAATATTCAAAAATTGTTGACTTGTATTTTGAACTGTGTTTTTGTACTCTTTAGATTTGTGTTTAATTAGATGGCAGATACTATATTTTTCGGACTATAAGATGCACCAGAGTATAAGACACACTAAGATTTTGAAGAGGGAAAAAAAAAAGTTTTTAGCCTCTGCGTGTCTGGTTTTTGCCCTCCCTGGCCCCCAAGAGCACTCTGCAGGCTTCCCAAACCCTCTGCGTGTCCTGTTTTTGCGAAAAATGGGCCTGTTTTTGGCCTCCCAAACTCCCCCCCCATGCATCGTGTTTTTGCCCTCCCCAGCCCCCAGGAGCACTCTGCAGGCCCCCCAAACTCTCTGCACATCCTGTTTTTGGCAAAAATGGGACACATGGGGCGGAGTTTGGGGAGGCCAAAAATGGCTGTATTTGGTGTATAAGATGCACTAACATTTCCACCCTCTTTTAGGGGGGGGAGAGTGCATCTTATACTCTGAAAAGTACGGTAATTGGTGACCTTTAAAAGGTAATTAATACCATTCTGGACAAATGAAGACTAGAATACAGAATAATTTATTTATTTATTTATTTATTTTATTGAATTTCTATACCGCCCTACTCCCGAAGGACTCAGGGCGGTGCACAGCCATAAAATAAAACATATAGATATACAAAATTTAAAATCAAATAAAATGAATTAAATAAATTTGGCAGAATTAGTACCCATAATTTAAGATACCCATTTTTTAAAATACATTAAGAATTTAAAAATTTAAAATTTACACTTAAAAGGGAGAAGATTTAGGCGATAATAGAGTGGGAAGTCACCTTGGAGGTCTTCTAGTCCAACCCCTTGCTCAAGCAAGAGACCCTATACCATTTCAGACAAATGGCTATCCAACCTCTTCTTAAAAACCATCAGTGTTGGACCCACAACAACTTCTGGAGGCAAGTTGTTCCACTGATTAATTGCTCTAACTGTCAGGAAATAAAAACCAGGAAGATCACCATGCATCTTTGCCTGATACATTATATTTTTTTTAAATTTTCAGAAGCACTGGTGAAATGGCCCAGATGGACAGGAAGTAATAAAATCCTTAATGTTTGTGGTTTATGGTATTGGGAAGTTTATTTGATTTAAATATTTTGTTAGCTTAATGAAGCGTGCTTAGTTGCTCAAAAATTCATTATTGGATGAAGCAAATTAATCAAATTGGCCTCCCAAGTCCTTATCATATTGCTTAAGTACATTGGCATCCTTCAGTCTCAAGAGACTATGGTATCGTGCTCTGGAAAGCATCTAGTGTGACTAAAAAGGCCAATTCGAGAGTGGCAATCCCTTCCACACTGAGGGCAGATACATTCTGTTCCCTGCCCAGCCCCCAGATTTTGCTGGTTCCGGGACTGCCTCTTTGCCTCAGCCTAAGCTTAAGTACAATCATAGCACAAAATCAAAATAGCCTATTTGAGAACTTATAGTATTTGGATTTTATCCACTATCTTTGTTAAAAGAATAGCTGTCAATAAAGTATTACTTCAATAAAAGTAAACTTCCTTTTGCTAGGATATATTGGAAAGCAAAAATAATTAAAAAGAGAAAGAACCAATTATATGGTAACCAAAAGCACTTAGAAGTAAATACAAATTTATACATTAAACCTACATGTCTTTTAATGAATTAATTAATTAATTTAAAAAAGCAAAACTTAAAGCCATGGAATTTTTCCATAGGTGTATACACTCTGATGGGATTCAGTGGCTCAGTGGCTAAGACACTGAGTTTGTTGATCGAAAGTTCAGCAGTTCAGCCGTTCGAATCCCTAGTGCCGCGTAATGGGGTGAGCTCCCGTTATTTGTCCCAGCTTCTGCCAACCTAGCAGTTCGAAAGCATGTAAAAAAAAAAATGCAAGTAGAAAAATAGGGACCACCTTTAGTGGGAAAGTAACAGCGTTCCGTGCGCCTTTGGCATTTAGTCATTCCAGCCACATGACCACGGAGACATTTTCAGACAGCACTGGCTCTTCGGCTTAGAAACGGAGATGAGCACCACCCCCTAGAGTCAGGAATGACTAGCATGCATGTGCGGGGGAACCTTATACACTCTGATTGAAAGAAACTTTTTTATTGCTTTGGGTGAACCTTATTTGAAAGACCAAAATGTATATTTTATTTTATTTTGTCATAGTATATTTAAAAAAAAAAAAACAGATTGAGTCCTCATTTTATTCATTTCTATTTACAGAAAAGACCACGTTCCCTGTGTAACGACCATTGTGCTTCAGGTTCAAGTAGGAGTGAAATTGAAGGAAAGCCATTTTGCTGCTATAAGTGCTTTCCGTGTCCAGAAGGGAAGATGGCAAGTGAGAAAGGTAAGGCATACAGCATTATCTGTATAGAAGCAACCATTTTGTATAAGGAGTTCCACTTCTGTATAGAAGATAAAAATAAGGTGCTGATTTAGATGAGTGAAATAATTTTCCATCTACTTTCTAATTACCTTCCCAGAAACTTGGAAAAGAAAGAACCTTGTCAGCTCAATGATAATAGTAATAGCACTTAGACTTATATACCACACCATAATGCTTTACAGCCCTCTCTAAGTGGTTTACAGAGTCAGTATATTGCCTCTGGACAATTGACTCATATTGACTCATTTTACTGATCTTTGAAGGATGGAAGACTTAGTCAATCTTGAGCCCAGTCAGGATTGAACTGCAGCAGTGGTGAAATTCAATTTTTTTTTTTACCGGTTCTGTGGGCATGGTGTGGCTTGGTGGGCATGGCTTGGTTGGTGTGGCAGGGGAAGGATACTAAAAAATCGCCATTCCCTCCCCACTCCTGGGGGAAGGATATTGCAAAATCTCCATTCCCACCCCACTCTGGGGCCAGCCAGAGGTAGTATTTGCTGGTTCTCCGAACTACTCAAAATTTCTGCTACCGGTTCTCCAGAATCTGTCAGAACCTGCTGAATTTCATCTCTGAACTGCAGGCTATGGGCAGAGATAGCCTGCAATACTGTATTCTAACTACTGCACCAACAGCTAAAGGTACAAAGAATTTTGGGGAAAAAAGGAAAAGATCCTATGAGCAATCACTGGTTTTTAGAATGAAGGCTTTACCTCAATAAATGTGGGATGGGTTGCTATATTTAAATTGAATTAAATCCTTTGCTTGGATATTAGCTGTCTCCCATTACATATACATTCTAATTAATATAATCTCTTTTATATAATTTATATAATATCTATAGTTTCCTTGACCGTATTACAGAAGTTTATTAGTGCCTTCAGTCTGCCCAGTAGCTTTATAAATCTCAGGCAGTCTCCTATTGAAACATTAAGAAGTGGTACAACATATACTTCAGTTAATACTGTACCTTGATTAACACAGAATCTTCTACATACAATAACAACATTTTCTTTTGCAGATATGGATGATTGCATACCATGTCCGGAAGGACAATATCCAAACAACAAGCATGATTCATGCCTTCCAAAACACATAGTTTTTCTCTCTTATGAAGATCCATTAGGGACCAGTTTGGCCACTACTGCAATTGTCTTTGCTTGCATTGCCACTGTGGTGCTTGGGATCTTCATCAAATACCAGGACACTCCCATAGTCAAGGCCAACAACCGGAACATCACCTACCTTCTCCTCATCTCCCTTGTGCTCTCATTCCTTTGCAGTTTATTATTCATTGGAAAACCTGAAAAGGTGACCTGCCTTTTGCGACAAACTGCTTTTGGGATTGTCTTCTCAGTAGCCATTTCTTGTATATTGGCAAAAACCATCATTGTGATTTTAGCTTTCATGGCTTCAGTACCAGGATCCAAGATGAGGAGATGGCTGGGCAAACGATTAGATAATTACATCGTTGTTTCCTGTTTCCTTGTTCAAGTTGTTATTTGCATTGTATGGCTTGTAACCTCACCCCCATACTCAGATGCTGATATGAACTTAGTGGCAGATGAAATCATTCTGGGATGTAACGAAGGCTCTACTGTCATGTTTTACTGTGTTTTATTCTACCTGCTTTTCCTTGCCATTGTTGGTTTTAGTGTGGCTTTCCAAGCCCGGCATTTACCAGACAGTTTTAATGAAACCAAGTTCATCTCTTTCAGCCTGTTGTGCTTTTGCAGTGTCTGGTTGTCCTTTTTTCCAACATATCTGAGCACCAAGGGGAAATACATGGTGGCTGTGGAGATCTTTTCCATATTATCCTCCAGTGCAGGGCTACTGGGTTGCATCTTTTTCCCCAAATGCTTTGTTATTCTAGTAAGGCCTGATCTGAATAATAAAAAGCAGTTGATGAGAGGAAAGAAAGAAGAACTATAATTCCATATTTTTTCAGTTTTAAAAAGAATACATTGTCATACGTATTCAATAAAGACCACTCAAAACTGGAACTGCTTCAAAATGAAGCCCTTGCAAGTCATGGGAAACTTATCCATTCTGATTGCTCCAGGCATTGTAAGAACTTTGAGAAAACCCCGAGAGGTGGCATGCAGCAAAGAGGGGGTTGAGGGGTTTTTTATATAAAGTTTTAGTGAAATGTTTAAGGGGTTCCGGGGGGGAGGGTTGGATTAGTACTAGGGTTGTGGGTGTGGGGGATAACCCACCGAGGAGGAGGCCTGGGCGGGCTGAGGGGCGCAGCATGGAGGGTGTCTGACTCGGGGTCAAGGAGGGGGTTGGAGCCTGTTCCGTTGATGGAATTTCCATCAGTACTGTGGGTGGGAGGGGCAGGTATGGCAGGAGCAGGGGGCCATATCATGTTATGGGAGTGCACGCTCACTGTCTTCGAGCAGTGGCGTGCTCCGGCCCCCAATGCTCTGCTCTTTCCCTGAGTTGCACAGATCCTCAGGGCCTGGGCCTTCGGCTGATGTTATGCAACACCAGATCCCTGGTAAATAAAGCCCCCCTCATCTGTGATCTTATTCAGAAGTGGGGAGCGGACCTGGCGGGTATTATGGAGACCTGGTTGGGCCAGGAGGTCCCCCTCGCTGAAATGTGCCCACCCAGTTTTCACGCATTTCATCAGCTGAGGTCACAGGGGAGGGACGGGGGGGGGGGGGCGGTTGTCATTAACTAATTCTTAGGCTGAGGGAGGCCACTGTTCCTCAGACTATCGGATGTGAGTCCCTCCTTGTGAAGTGGGGTCATGGGGTACAGGTGGGCTTGCTGATCATGTACCTGGCTCCCTGCCACATGGCAGCAGCCCTGCCTTAGCTGCTCAATGTTATAGCCACGGTGGCGGTTGATACCCCCAGATTTATGGTCATAGGGGATTTTAACTTGCCATCCATCGGTGAGACGTCTGAGATGGCTCGGGAGTTCATGGCTTCCATGATGGCTAAGGACCTGACCCAGTTAATTCATGGCCCTACTCACACAGGGGGAAACACGCTGGACCTGGTTTTTGTCTCTGGTCAGTGGTTGAGTGATCTTGAGATAGGGGATATAACGATTGAGCCCTCGTCATGGTCAGATCACTCCCTCTTTCGCTTCGACCTCCAAAACCAACCCACCCCACCACAGGGAGGCGGAACCAATGAGATGGTTCCGCCCCAGGTGCCTGATGGAGCCTGAGAGGTTCCAGACGGAGCTTGGGCCATTCCCTGAGGCTCTGGCTCATGCCTCGACTGAAGACCTAATGGCCGCCTGGGATAGGGCAGCCGCTGGAGCTTTGGATCGGGTCGTGCCTTTGTGGCCTCTGACCTGGTGCTGGTCTCACCTGGCTCCTTGGTTCATCGGGGAGCTGAGGGAGATGAAGCGCCGGAAAAGACACCTGGAGAGCTGTTGGAGGGCCAGCCTTTCTAAATCTGACCGAACACTGGTAAGATCTCATATTAAGACTTACCTAGTGGCGATAAAAGCAGCAAAATGTAACTACTTTGCCACTCTTATTGAGTCATCAGATAATCGCCTGGCCGCCCTGTTTAGGGTGACCCGCTCCCTGCTCCATCAGGGAGTGCAGGAGGGTACTCTACCCTTGGAGGGTAGAGCCGAGGACTTTGTCCAATATCTGTATGACAAAATTGCCCAGATTCGGGAAGACTTGGACACTGACTGGGTAGATTCAGGAGGGATGATGGAGGCAGGTCTTGAGAACGTTATCTGGGAAGAATTTGACTCTGTGACTCCCGAAGATGTGGACAGGATTCTGGGTAGACTGAACGCAGCCACATGTTTATTGGACCCGTGTCCCTCCTGGTTGGTGCTGGGCTTCTCGGGAGGTGACATAAGGCTGGCTCCAGGGGATTATAAATGCTTCGTTGAGTGAGGGTGACTTTCCCGCCACCTTGAAAGAGGCGGTGGTGAGGCCTCTCCTCAAGAAGCCTTCCCTGGACCCAGCAGTGTTAGAAAATTATCGTCCGGTCTCTAACCTTCGCTTTGTGGCAAATGTTGTTGAGAGTGTGGTCACGCGACAGCTTCCCCAGTACCTGAATGAAACGGTTTATCTGGATCCGTTCCAGTCAGGCTTCAGGCCTGGGTATAGCATGGAAATGGCATTGGTCGTGTTGGTTGATGATCTCTGGAGTGCTCGGGACAGGGGTTGTTCCTCTATCCGGGTCCTATTAGATCTCTCAGCGGCTTTTGATACTATGGACCATGGTATCATGCTGCACTGGTTTGAAGAGTGGGGGGTGGGAGGCACCGCGTTGCGATGGTTCTCCTCCTTTCTCTCCGACCGGTCGCAGTCTGTGTTGGCAGGGGGCAGAGGTCGACCCCAAGGCGCCTTATATGTGGGTGCCACAGGGGTCAGTTCTCTCGCCCCTTCTGTTCAACATTTATGTGAAGCCAGTGGGTGAGATCATCCGTAGTTTTGGGGTGAAGTACCATCAGTACACTGATGACACTCCGCTGTACATCTCCACCCCGGACCACCCCAATGATGCCCTTGAAGTGATGTCCCGGTGCCTGGAGGCCATGCAGAGCTGGATGGGGAGAAACAGACTCAGGCTAAACCCATCCAAGACCGAGTGGCTGTGGATTCCAGTGTCCCGATATAGTCAGTTGGTGCCATCACTGACTATTGGGGGCGAGTCGTTGGCCCCCACAGAGAGGGCTCGCAACTTGGGTGTCCTCCTGGATTCGCCGGTTGTCTTTAGAAGAGCACTTGACAGCCGTGGCCGGGAGGACTTTCTATCAGGTTCGCCTGATCTGCCAGTTTCCGCCCTTTCTGAATTGGGACTCCTTACTCACAGTCACTCATGCCCTCGTCACTTCCCGCCTGGACTACTGCAATGCTTTCTACATGGGGCTCCCCTTGAGGAGCACCCGGAGGCTCCAACTGGTGCAGAGTGCAGCCGCGCGGGTGGTTATGGGAGCGACGTGGTGCTCCCGTGTTACACGTCTCCTGTGCGAGCTGCACTGGCTCCCAGTGGTCTTCCGGGTGCAATACAAGATGTTGGTCACCACCTTTAAAGCGCTCCATGGCATAGGACCAGGATATTTATGGGACCGCCTTCTGCCACCAATAGCCTCCCACTGACCAGTCCGCTCCCACAGAGAGGGACTCCTCAGAGTACCGTCGGCCAAGTTATGTCAGCTGGCGATACCCAGGAGGAGAGCCTTCTCTGTCGGAGCTCCTGCCCTTTGGAATGAATTGCCCCCGGATATTCGTAACATCTCTGACTCCGGGTCTTTTGCTGTGCCCTCAAGACCCTACTGTTCCGACAGGCGGGCCTGTCTAACTGAATGATTTTAAACTGGGTTTTAATATTGGGTTTTAAAATTTGGCCAAAACTATTTAATGATTTTTATTAATTTTAACTATGATATTGTATATTTATGTTTTTAATCTTGGCTGTACACCGCCCTGAGTCCTTCGGGGGAAGGGTGGTATATAAATAAAATTATTATTATTATTATTATTATTATTATTATTATTATTATTATTATATTATTATTTAATCTTTAGTGAGATTCACAGCCTTTGAGGCTGGTTAATAGCTCAGCAGCTCGAGTCCTAACCAAGGACCTAGGAACTGTTAAGGTATCATCGGAGGATGTAAGCTGTTCCGAGTAAGGTGGTTTTTTGTAAAGTCAAAATGTTCAAGTCCGGCAATTTTAGAATTTCTAAATAGCAGGGTAGCCCTTTGGGTATTGCTCCAAGGGCTCCAGTTACAATTGGGACAACACATGATTTCTTTTTCCACAGTCGCTCAACTTCAATTTGTAAGTCCCGGTAAGTGGTGATTTTTTCTTGCTGCTTATCTTCAATTCGTGCATCACCAGGTATTGCAATGTCAATGAACCATACTTTTTTCTTTTCAACTATTGTTATGTCAGGTGTGTTGTGGACCAAGTGCCTATCAGTCTGAATCCTAAAGTCCCACAAGATCTTGAGTTTCTCATTCTCTAAAACTTTCTCAATCTGATGTTCCCAGTGGTTTTTGCTGTACTCAAATCCAAACTTCTGGCACAATTTCCAGTGAATGATCTTAGCAACACGGTCATGGCGTTGTAGGTAGTCAGTTTGTGAAATTTTGCTGCACCCACTGATCAGGTGGTCGACTGTCTCATCTTTCTCATTGCATAGGCGGCATTTGCTGTTGGTGGTAACATGTTGAATTTTTGTCTTCATGCAGTTTGTGGCTAGGGCTTGTTCTTGAGCTGCCAAAATAAAGCTTTCTGTTTCTTTTTTCAGTACTCCTGATCTTAACCAGTTCCAAGTTAGTTTCTGGTCAGCTTTGCCTTCAATATTTTTCAAGTATTGGCCATGCAGAGCTTTGTGTTTCCAATTTTCAGCTCGCTGCTCAATTACTTCTTTCTTATATTCTGCTTTTGTTTTAGTTGTCTTTAAAAGGCCTCCTTTATTTACTTCCTTAATCATTGGTTCTTCACTTTTCTGGATGTAATCATTCAAGCTGCATTTTTCTTCTTCCACAGTCTGCTTTACTTGTAGGAGTCCTCGACCACTCTCTGCTCTTGGTAAATATAATCGGTCAACATCACTTTTAGGGTGCAAGGCATGATTCATTGTCATAAGCTTCCTTGTTTTTCTGTCCAAATTGCCTAACTCCATCTGGGTCCAGTCAATTATTCCTGCAGAGTATCTAATCACAGGTATAGCCCAGGTATTTATGGCTTTTATGATGTTTCCTCCACTCAATTTGGACATTAATATCTTACGAATTCGCCGAATGTACTTGGCTGAAGTTGATTCCTTGACTTTATTATGCATTAAGTCAGAGGCTTCTAAAATCCCCAAGTACTTGTAGCCTTCTTCTGATTTTACTGCCTTTATCATTTCTTCATTCTCTAGTTCTATTCCATCCTCTTCTATGATCTTGCCTGCTTTGGTTGCTATTGTTGCACATTTGTCAATTCCAAACTGCATACCAATGTCTTGGCTGAATTCTTTTGTGTTTTCAATTAATAAATTCAGTTCAGC